ATATATATATATATTTCTTTAAATCCAATTAAATCCAATTTCGTTTTTGATTTTATTAAAACCCTAAACAAAGTCGGATTCAAAAACCAAAAATATGGAGTTGTAGGGCTTAAAATTCCCTACAACCCCATATTTTTTTATTTCTTTTTTACCTATTATTTAATTCAGGAAAATTCGTGTAAAATCGTGTCCGCGGTGCGGACGAGGTAGGCCGCGGATGCGGACCCATTTGGGTCCGCGATCCGAGCTCGACCCCGCGGACGCGTCCGCGGGTGTTTCGTAGATGGACGATGGTTCAAATCCTATTAAAGAAGTGTGCGAACACTCTCGTATTCAACACACTCGATGGATGAGCATCAACAACAGGTCCAACAAACAAATTCATATTCGACATATCCATCAGCATTCGAGCTCACGATCTTAGATGTGGGTACTGCTCAGGCGCAGTTACATGCGTGTCAACAGTCAGCCACAAGGCAGGGCCTAGTTGGACAACCCATCGACGAACTGCAAGAATCACTGTAACATTCACAGCTCATCGTACGGAACATGACGGACAAACAAAGAACCACACCCCGAGTTACCCGAAGGACTTCGACCTCATGACCTGTTAGTCAAAAGGTACATGTGTGTACAATTCAACCACAGGCAGAATCTGATCCACTTGCTTAATGGTGGTCTGGCATCCATCCACTAGAAAACCCGCGTCCATCCACTAGAAAACCCGATGAAGAACTGAAAGTACAGTAGAACGTTCACAACACGTCGGATTGACGAGGATCGACGACACGGCCAACAAACAGAACCATACCCGATGTGTCCTCTCGGATCATGAAAAGGAAAGGGTGATCGACAACGAACTGAGAGCGGCGGGGCACAAACATACACCTTGCTACAGCGTGAACCACGGTTGCTGCCGCGGCAATTGTGCCCTCCTCATCAACCTCAACACACGCGTTGTGCAGGACATCAGAGATGCAAACTGGGGGAACCTCGGCATTAAATAAGTTTGAGAAATCTGAAGCTGGGCTGAATGCGCTCTTCATGCCAATGTCCATGAGTGCCCGGTTGAGGTTCAGACTTGAGGAGATTTTGAATTTAGGGACCAATAGTCGGACAAGATCGACCTTGAACATACTGCTGAAGGACTCCTCAAGCAATTCGGCACTTAACGATTCCTCCATCTTTGCAAGCCCATCCACCTCATTCGGGAGGAAAATATACATTGCCAGCTCACGGATCTCCTCCTCTGCCTCTGCTCCCCCAATCTGATAAGGCAACCTCAGGATCAGGAAACCGTTCTGCTCTCCCATTTTATAACTCCCTTTGTTCCGCATCATTGGCACCGACACTGTGTCAACGCTGCCATCGATGGCCGGTATCATAAAGTCTCCAGGGGCAGTAGAACTTGCATCGAAGACTTTCTGCCACAACCCCTTGAAGTAGAGAGCGTTAACAAGCAAAATGAGGGAGTCTGCGTCAAGCAGGCCGTCGGGGACGATCTTCGGTATCTTTCCTGATGTCTGCTTACTCACCCACTGGTTGATTTCACCGGTCACTTGTGATGCTGCCCCCGCAAAATCTGCAGGGACCACACGACCCTCGTACATCCCAACATGATCCTCATACTCCTCCTTCAACGGGAACCGATCAGTCACCCAAACTCCGGTTGCAATCTGTATTGTCGCTGCAGCTGACTCTGGGCAGGAGTCAGCGCTGGTCTTTCCTAGAAGATTCCTGCGCAGAAGTGCTAGGGACGAGTGAGCGGACGTCAGATCTCTTGGGACCCGCAGAACATCAAGTATTTCATTCAATGTGTTTCCCGCTGAACCACCCGAGATGACAGCCAAGGCAAGAGCGATGCTTACTGGCGAGAGTGCGACATTCAGTAGGTTCTCGCTTTGAGCGTTAACACCTGACGATGACAATGCAGCGCGGTACAGCTCAAGCATAAAGGTTACTTGTCCATTTACAAGATTGCTGTTACGTTCGGCATCCATCTTTACTCTCTCTCCTCCACAAATAGGTGGTGGTAGGTACTCTGCACTTGATGCAAAAACTAACCCTGTCAGCAGGTTCCTGACATATGGCAGCTGGAGTGGAGTGGCCTCAACTCAACCCAACAGACGTCAGTTCGTCGAGACACAGATGGATCTTCCACGTCAGTTGGAATCGAGTCGATTCAAGTGAAACCATGTACTGATTCTCCAAAGGTAGGTGCTGGGTACTCCGCTCTCAGTCCAAACCATACAGATTACCAAAACATGGCCGCAGCTGAAGTAGGAGGTTCCCCACTTGTATAAGCTGCAGCCTGGAGTGGGTGGCAGCTCATAAACTCCACCCCACAGATATGAATACCTTGAGACTGAGAACAAAGATCAATGGATTAAATTAAGTCTGCTGCATCGACTGCAAACAACCCAATCCAAGCCAATCTAAAGTCGACCCAAGTCGATCGAAGTCGATGTCCGTAGCTGGAGATTTGACGGCGTGACAGCAAGGGTAGGACCTGTAAACCAAACAAAGAAAGGAAAATGCAGCCATCAAATTGCTGGTCGAGTTGAATTGAGCTATAGGCACTGGTAAACTCTTCAGAGAAATGGAGGGATAGGACACCCATTCCCATTTCCAAACAGCCTATTTCGCTGATCTGGAAACAACAAAGGTAGGTAGGAAAAAATTACAGAGCTCAAAGGACGAGGCAGACCCTGGGAAGGAGCACAAGCATCGACTGTGTTCCAATAGTCATCAGTATGTTTTCATTCTTGCAAGGAGCCCGTCGATGAGAACTCTATTCATGACCGACACAAACTTCTGATCAGCACCCACGAGTGCACCAAAGGGAGGGGAAAATTAGAAACGACAAGACCACACAAATATAGAACCCACAGTGCTCTGAAGCTACTGGTGCTTGTGAGAGAGTGAATTGTTGCACTGCAGCCATGCAGGAGTGGGGTGGATATCACGACCGGCATGGTTCCACTTCAAACACCATGCCATTGTTGCAGTGTGTTGCATGCTGCGCCTGCACACGGCCCCTAGGCTGCACGCCCATTCCAGGCACTCGACCTGGAGGCCCACGGCCATTTCTCAGGCTGCAGGTTCAGATTTGAGCCAGCATTTATTTATTTATTTCTGCTGACTCGTTGTCTGTTCTATTTTTGTCTCCTTCAGGACGTCGTTCCGGACTTGCAGTATGTCCGGACCGACTTGCGGTCTGTTCGGACCAAGGCCACTTTTGGGGCCTCCTCCATTCGTGGCCAGGCCTTTTCAGGCCAGGTTCAGGTTCATCCGGTAAACATTCCCTGCTGCATCAGCAGGAAGGCCTGGACGTCCGGTAGGGACCAGCAGGCCGTTTTAGGCCAGGACCAGAGGAGCAGGACTTTTTCGTGCAACCTGGGCCATGGATCAGCCTCACGATCTCGCGGCCCAGATTGCAGGCCACGGGCACACCAACCAGCCCAGCGCTATAGATAGCTGGGCCAGTCCAGTTCCACACAGAGAGTTGGAGTAGCTCACTTCCTGAGAAACACGCTGCTGGAGCAGTGCGCGATACATCGCTGCGCTAGGACCAGAGGTAGACGCACAGAGAGAGAGAGGGAGAGAGGGGTTGAGGTGGTGGCCATCCCTGCAGCGACGGTAGACCTACCTGGGCGCCATAGCTGGACTTCTCACCAGTGACCTGCAGCACAGAGGGACACACCCGCTCGTTAGTACATGGCAGCAGTTACCTGCAGGTGAGACAGCGAGGAGGACAACATCTTCTTCTTCCCGTTCTCGCCCTCCATCTCTTCTTCTTCCTCTTCTTCTTCCTCTTCTTCTTCTTCTTCTTCGTCTTCTTCCTCTTCTTTCAGAGAGAGAGAGAGAGAGAGAGAGAGAGAGAGAGAGAGAGAGAGAGAGAGAGAGAGAGAGAGAGAGGTTATAGTCAGAGGTTATATCGGGCTATGAGGTCCACAATCTGATTCGACATTATAGCAGCAGACATTGATTGGACATTCAGCAGGGAGACTATTTTCAGACTTCACTATCGCGATCTTGGTCTTCTCCCTCACCTCCATCTTCGTCTTGCTCCTCCTCCCTCACCACTTCCGTGGTCTCTCCCCATGTGCGAGTCCAAGGAGGGACCTTTCTTCTATGTCTGCGGTCCCTCCTCCTCTCTCACATGTGTGGTATGCAGGGTTGTCGAGCCCCGGCCCCGGGGCCCCGGCGGGGTTCCGGGGTTGGGCACCCCCAACCCCGGCTTCAGACCCCCCCGCAAAAAAAAAA